CAGTTTCCAACAAGTAGAATCCTGGGAAGTCCAAAGACTTTCACAGTTATACAAAATCCTAGCCACACCTCTCAAGTACTGACCCTTAGTAAACAACCTGTCTTCCTACACTTTTCCTGTGATGGTCCCTTTAACTCACCTCCCTTCATCCTCATCATCTCTGTTGATATTCATTTTTTCTTACATTTTATATTGTGAAAATACTACTCTAACCCCATTTTCTAGATATAAGCAATCGACAAAACCAATTACTTAATCTCAACCATGGAAGTACAAATTCATGCATGATTTATTCCCTTAACTTTTACTTTATTTTATTTTTATTGTGGCAAAATACTAATATCACAAGTGTTATCATCTTAAGTGTACATTTTAATGATATTTAAGTTCATGCATACTGTGTAACTGTTACCACCATCCACTTCCAGAACTTTCAACTTGTAAAAATGAAACTATCTATTAAGTAATAATTCTCTACTTTTCCCACTCCCTGGCAACCACCATCCTACCATCTCTTCTGGTTCTGCCTCCCTCTACTGCCTCCATTTCTCCCAATCCATGTCTCAAAGACTAAGTTCCAGATACATGAACTGCCTTAAGCTCCAAGTATGTGCAATGCTTGTTTTAGCCTCCGTGTCTTTGCCCATTTGATCATCTCCTTCTGGAATTTTGTCCTTGCCCTTCAACATCCCCATTCACCTGGGAAAATTATACCCATCCTTTAAGACTCAAGAGGCCCCTTCCCCACAGATGCTTCTCTGTCATTCTTCTCTGAGAGTTTTCCTACTCCCTTGAGAATCGAGGTTAGGTATCTCTCTTCTGTATTTTACCATGGAACTCATCAGATGGCTTTATAACTTTTTGCTTTTATAGCTATGTTTCTTACTTGTAGATAGTTTGGTGGTAGTGAAATTCATTTTATACTTTTTTTGTATTCCTAGGACCTAACTTGATTCTGAGCTCATAAATAGTAACTTAATAATGAACAGTTGAATAAAAGAAGAAAAGAGAGATTTAAATGGTAAAGAAATCACTGTGTTGGAAAGATATCAATAGTAACGTGATAACTGAAAGTAGTCAGTCATGTCTTTCACCAGAAGCAATAGAAAAACAACTCAAATTAGCTTAACAGAGGCATCTATTGCTATATGAAGATGAAAGTCAATTGATTATGTAAAGGAAAGCTTAACTTTCAGGTGTTCCAAGATTATCCTCAATAATTCTACTGGGGTATGTACAGGGTACATTCTTCTGTGCTAGCTTCTTAGGGAGGCTTTCACCAAACAATGTGAAGACTCCAGGTTTTCATTGTATTAGTTCAACTCTCCCAGAAAGTAACAAGAACCTCTCATTTCCCTTTATTCTGGCACAACTGACATTGTCTTTGATTTAACCCAGCTTGTCATTTGCTCTACTCTGAACCCATATTGGCTTGGGTTAAGGGCAGAGACAGGAAGGAGTGCTCCACATTGCTTTAGGTCACAGATTTACCCTCTGAAGCTCAGAAGTGGGCTCATCTCACTTCAGTCACATGAACTGATAATGCTAGAGATTATTTCCAACAGAAAACAAGGCCTCTGTTTTAAGAAGGTGGAAGAATGGGTAAGATAGGGACAAATTAGAGGCTGGAGAAATTAGAGGTTCGGAGGGGAGGCTAACCCTGACACTCAACTGAGTGCCCTTAGACAGAATGATGGAAAGTTTTGAAATCTAGTAACAAGTTCAACATCTTCATTTTTTCTCTCTAGAGCAGAGCCATTATACAATGAGCTATAAGCTATTAGGAAATGGGATGGAAGGTGCTCTTAAAAACTTCTGAAGCACAGTATGGGATTATGTGAATTAAATCATAGAAAGTGATATATCATTTCCTTTTGGAAAACAAATGATTTGATTAACATGCCCTTAGATGACACAAAGATAATTCTAAAGACAATAAACTGATTCTTAACATGTCTTTGGAGTATTATTATAAATAAACTTTAACTCTGTTCTTCCTGAGTATTTGCCCACATCTGTACTTGAGTTGGGAATCTTTTCAGGTAATATTGTCTATTGTTCTTTAGGTGTAAGAAATAGATGAGAAGTTTGAGTAGCTACCTATCTGTTAATGTCAACACAGAGAGACAATTATTTCTTCAATATTTTCCAATGAATGGTGGAGAGAAATTATTCTTTTTCCCATTTCATATGAGAAGTGATTAAAACTACAATTTTGAACAAACAATGGATTAAAACCAATCCAAGTTCAATTAACCATACAGATGTTCTCTCCTTTATAAATATCTGAAGTTGAAGGTTTAAAAGATAAATTAGAAGATGTTTCTCTGGAAACATGGCATTTGTGTCAGTTTACAGAAAGGTGCATCATTGTCTGTTTCTGTTTTAAGTTCCAGCATGCTATAACAAAATAACATAGACTGGGTGACTTAAACAACAAATATTTATTTCACAGTTCTGGAAGTTAAGAAGTCCCAGATCAAGGTGCAGGCAGAATTGGTGTCTAGTAAGGACTCTTCCTGATTTGAAGATGACCATCTTCCTACTGTTCCCTTAAGGAAAGACACAAAAAGGGGGGCATACAAGAGCTCTTTGGTCTTTTCTTATAGGGGCACTAATCCCACCATGAGTACCCCACCATCATAGCATCATCTCAATATAATTAATTACCTCTCAAAGGCTTTACCTCCTAATACCAACACACTAAGGAGTAAGGCTTTACATACGGAGGACACATTCAGTCCATTAACAAGAATGTTGTAAAGTACCACATGTGCCTTGTGTAGTGATGCAGTTTGTAATCCCAGCTACTCAAGAGGTAGAGGCAGGAGGTTCACCTCAGAGGCCCTCCCGGGCCAGTTAGATGGAGATAAACTAAAGGCTAAAAAAGATTTGGGTGTGGCTCAAATGGTAGAATGGTTGGCAAGCTCAGAACCCTGAGTTCAATACCAGTGCCACTGAAAAAAAAAAGTATCATTTCTATTTTCTTTATTTAATAAATATTTACATAGCACTTAATAAGTACTGAAGTTTTTCAACGGTTACACATTTAATACTTACAACCACTCTGTGAGGTAGGCACAACTATGAGCTCTCTTCAGATGAAAAACATGAGCAGAGAGAGGTCATTTATACAAATGACCAACTGTCATGCAGTTGGTAATGGTAGCCCCGACCACCTTATCCAGATATGGCTCCACCTTTGCATTAGTGAACACTCTATTCCTGAGGCAAACAGCTTTTTCTTCCAGCATCCACACCAGAGGTAGATCCACATCCAGCCTGGAGAATTAATGTAATCTACCCAGAACCTACATTTGAATGCAAAAACAACAACAACAAAAAGGAGCATTGAAACTGACAGTGAAAATTTAATTCCTGACTACCCAAAGTGAAGGCATCAGCTAGACAGACTTGAAAATACTCTATTGATAATTGTGTATTGAATATAGAAATCTTAAACTGGTTGAAACCACCATAAGAAAGGGACTAAAGTAAAATGTAGATAATTAAGAGGAGATAAACCAATTTGGAATATAACACATATATACATGGAAATATCACAAAGAAAGTCCCTGTGTACCTACCTTTATCTCAAACAAACAAACTGTCATGTTTTTCTTTTATTCTTTTCTCTTTTTCTCTTCTGCAAAATCAGAGAACAGGAGAGCTGAACAGGTCCTGTGGGGGGAGGAGGATTGGCACTAATGTAGGGGGAGGTGGTGAGGAAAGGGGGTAGGAAGGTGAATGTGGTACAAAAAATGTGTACACATCCATGCAAATACAATAATGATACCCTTTTAGCTATTCCATGAATTGGGGGTAGGGGGATAAAGGGGAGAGGTGGATGTATCAAATATATCAAATATGATATATTTGATATATGATATGACATATTTGATACATTGTAAGAACCTTTGTAAATGCCACAATGCCAGCACAACAATAAAGGGGGAAAAAAGAAAGGAATAAATCCTACAATATAGATAAATTCAGATGGCATGGGAATGAAGTGTGCCAGTGAGCAGTATTACATATTTTACAAAGACAAAGCTGCTTGTACATAGAGGATTAAAGAGGTGGAATCACACACTAGCTACTGGCTTTCTGTTGTCTAAGGTCTTTCATGTCCTGGAACAGTTCTAGAAAAGGTGGCCCTCCTGAGGCCAACACTGATCCCTCACAGCACCTACTGGATTTTCCTAAATCAAAACACAGCTCCTGTACAACAGAATAGTGATGCTCCATAAACTACGAAAGTTTGGGAATTCCAGAATTTAAGAGAGGACAAATGGGAGGCTACAACACTATGTTCTAAAGTAAACACTGACTTAACCTTTCTTTTCACTCTACTCACGGCCCGCTGGGTACAAACAATGCAAATGTGATTTATTTGAGATCAGAAAATACCAGGAGAAAGAAAAACTTTCTCACTTGTAACCCGAGATCACAAATGTATTTATTTTTAAGGAGTGTGCTTACTCTAGAAATGAATGAAAACTCCAAAACTCCAAGAGAAGGAGGAGAGAGACAAGAGAGGCTGTCATTCCTCCATTAGTCTTCCAATCCCTACTCTGGAAGAAATGCGCCCCAGCCCCGACTTGATTCTAACAGGATTGAGGGGTCACACCATGCTCCGCGCCCTAGAACCACTGGGCGAGCTAGGTCCCCCGCAGGGATCACTCCAGTACAGGCCACTCACTCTCCCTTGGGTGTGGGGCAGAAAGCAAACATTCCAGAGTCCACGGGAGGTGGACCCAGGCCATGTGGAATTGGCACCATGTGTTCCACAACCCGGTTCCCCAGAGGCGGGGCTGAATCTTTCTTCCTGACTAGGGGAAACGCCAGAACTCCGGGAATTTCCCTGGCCCAGGCTCAGGCCTTTCCCGCAGCCATGCATAAAAGAGGCTCTCCGGTCTCGGCGAGCCACAGATCCAGGCTCACAACAGCTCCGCACCAGTTCTCACGCACCAGACTTTGCCCGTGTCCCTCCGAGCTCCATGGCCCGCGCCTTCTCCGCCGCCGCCCGCGCCCCGCGCCTCCTCCACGCTGCGCTGCTGCTGCTGCTCCTAGTGGCCGCCTGCCAGCGCGCTGCAGGTAGGGCACAAGCCCGGGGATCCCGGGCAGGACAGGGCTTATAGCGACCAGCCTGAGGACAGCCGCTTTACCCTGTCTCTTCTTCCCCCAGGGGCGCCGGTGGTCACAGAACTGCGATGCCAGTGCCTGCAGACCGTCCAAGGAATTCACTTCAAAAACATCCAAAGCGTGAAGATGACGCCCCCAGGACCTCATTGCACCCAAACCCAAGTCATGTAAGTACCTCCCTGTCCCTCTGCTGCTGCAGCCAAAGTCACCCTGACCTTGTCCAAAACCCCAGCAGGACCACCTTCCTCATTCAGGTCCTCTCTTCTCTGTGCAGAGCTACTCTCAAGAACGGACAGGAAGCTTGTCTCAACCCTGAAGCCCCCATGGTTAAGAAAATCATCCATAAGATGCTAAACAAGTGAGTAATTGTTTCTGTTTGCACGTGTGACTGGAGCCATGGGTCACAATACTGGTATCTGCGTCCTAAAAATTGCATTAGGGTAACGCATGTTTAAGCTGCAGGACTACAAATCGTGATTACCATTTTCATAATTAATGTGGCCATTAAAATCATTAATTTGCTCTGGTGCCAGAAACATATCTCCAATGCCTCCACTTCTGGGCCCAACGCCCTACTCAAAGGGATTTAGAATTGGCCAGTGAAGCTTACCACTCCTCTCTATTAAGAAACAATGCTTACCTTAGACCCTTATGGGCCTCACACATGGAAAGTAGATCCCCTGATCTGGGGCAAGGTGTGTCTCTAAGTCTTCCTGATAAGAACAGTGTTCTTTGCAGTGATGTATCCTTGAGTTCAAAGCTAGAATCTCTGTGAATGTTATTTACTCTCTTCGAGATTCAGCAAAATAGGGGAGATAACTGTAGCTATTTCACAGGGCTGTGAGTGTGGCTTAAGTGAGGACAGGGATGTAAATTTTGAAGCCACTGTGCTAATCAGTGAGCAATGCGTTTTGGTTCTTTTAAAGCAATAACATATTTGACTCCACAGCCCCATTTCCCCTCAATAGAAACATTCAGGAGCCCAAGTGCTCTGCTATACAGGGTAGTGGGTACAATCAGACCTTCTGCTGGGTGCAAGATGGGCAACAGATACATTGTAGAAATCAGTACAGCCTCAAGGACTGGGCTAATAGAAGAGAGCTTTCTTCCACACCTGTAACAGAACCCTTTCTCCTCACAGGGGCAGCACCAACTGACTTGGAAAGAAGTAAGAGGATTTTCCTGGTGGCTCCTGCAGAGCAGACCCTATCCTTAGAAGAGCTGGACATGAAAGAGAATAGCTGGTTCCTTGGGTCACCTAGAAAAGGCTTAATGCATTTTATTATTTCTTAATGAGAGTTCTATTTATTTATGTATGTATTTATTTATTTTTCAAAACCTGTACCTTAATATTTTATATTACTGCTTAAAGCTGTGAATTTGTTTCATCAAGCATAGCTCAGTTCTGATAGTTTAACTTGAAGATGGTGGGTTTTAAATGTCTCACTAAAGTAATGTTTATTGAGAAATCATAAAGTATCAAGATGGAAGGAGTCTGGGGTTATGATACAATCATTTAGATGGTGTGACCACTGTTAGGATAAGGGAATGTGTGTGTACATCTGTTTTTATTCTTTTAAAAAAGACTGTCAGTTGTTATTTATTGAAAGTTTCATATTCTATGGTCAACATAGTTATGTTGAAGCATCCCTTGGACATTTTATGTCTTGCTTGTAGGGCATAATGCCTTGGTTAATATGCATTATTCACTGTGTCTCTTTGTCTTGGAACAGAGAAGTTACAATTACTGTTACATTTTTACAAATGACATGAAAATAAAAGTTTTGCTAAAAATAAAATGAATACCTTTTGTATTATTCTTCTTGCCTTCTATAGTTACATTTAACTCCATGCCTCTTTCTAGATAGCACTTCCACTGTGTTTCTTTTACCTGAGAAGGAATTACTTGCTTTTAGAAAGTACATACTACTTCCCCTAACCAACTTGATAATTTTAGTTTTATATAAAATATTGCTGTCTTTCACACTGACCAATGTGAGATGGGATGGAGGTCTTGCTATATTGCCCAGACTGGCTTTTGGCTTTCAGCTCAATCCTCCTTCTTTGTGGAATCACACACAGGCCTAAAAGTAGTTCATTACAAATTTATGAGTACTTACCAATATTTCAGCAAGAACACCTATTAAAAGCTTTAGTAAGTGCTTTCCCCCCCACTTCCTTAAGGAGGTTGGAGCAAGATATGGAAAATTGTTTTTTCTAAAAACTCAAAAAATCTGTGTTATTTAAAATACCAACAATATGAAGATAAGCACATACCATAAATAAAATATATGACAAAAACCAGAAAAGACATATAAGGGATACATAGATTTAGAATTGAACATGATTCTTCATTATTAAGGAAAGTTGTAAGAGAGCAAGAACATACCATTCACAGGGCAAATCTGAAAAGGAAAATGCAAAATTCAGGGCTTAAAAATCAGAATTAGTTAAAATGGAAAAAAAGGTAATATCTCAACCATATGAAAGAGGACAGTAATAAAGGACTAAAGGAACAACAACAATTACAAAAAAGAAAAAAAGTGGCAGGAAGAAGGGACAAATCTTCCTTACAGAAGAACTGCTGACAATATAGTATCACGTCTCCCTTCCTGACGGTAAGCTTAACTCCCCTGTCCAGGTGAGTGTGAGTTGACTTGGTGGTTTGCTTCCAAAGAAGAGACTGGGATAAAGGGAAAAGAAAGCACCATGTGGAGAAATTTGGCAGGCACACACTCAACCAAATGATCAAGATTATTACCACTATGGGGTGAAAATGTCATGCAGTCCTTGATATAGTGTGGTAGGAATGGCACATCTCAATTCCATTTATGCCTTTCAAGTAATCCAGAAACCCAGCACAATTATGACAAAAATTCAAACTGAGGGACGTACTACAAAATACCAACAAGCACTTTCCAAAATGATCAATTCAGGGAAACAAGACACTACTGACAGTGTGTCTGTTACAAATCAGACATGAAGACAATTTCAACATGTGTGCTGGGTTGGATCCTGGAATACAAAAAAATCTCATTAATGGGAAATTGGTAAAATCTACATAAAGAGTAGTGTTCACTGAAGAGCAGTATAGCAATGTTAATTTCTTAGTTTTGATAAATACACTAAAATTTTGTAACATGGCAACGTGAGAGGACACTGAACAAAAGCTCAGATGTGGAACTTTTGTTAGTGTCTACACAAATATTCTATAAACCTAAAATTATTTCAAATTTAACACTTGATTTAAAAATTAAAGGGTAGATTACCAAAATAGAATTTAATACAGCTGTATTAATAATTACAGTAAATTTAAATGGAATAAAGACTCCAAATAAAAGCCAAAGATTATCAGACAATAAAAAATGCATATTACACTATTTAAAATATTAGTTTAATATTTGGTTAATATTTTAATTAATAAAATATTAATTTAATATTTTAATAATAGACCCTTGAAATTAAAAGCATATGCAAAAATTAAATACTGGCATGGTAACTATTGATATTAATATTAATATGTATTGATATGTTTATTAGTAATTGGTCTACTAATGAAAGTCTAATTTATATATTACGATGGTGGTAAGAAGTAGTCACCAGCAAAAAAGACTGATTCAAAATAAAAAGGAAACAACTCTTCAGAGACAAAAACAAACCTTAAATTTTATTAAATTAACAGCATATTATCAAAATACATAAAACAGAGAAGTCAAAGAAAGCAATAGAAAAAAATCTACATTTATGGTTAAAGATTGTAACAAATGCTCTCAATGCTTGATAAAGTTGTAAAAAAAAATCAGTAAAAGTATAAGAGAATTAAGCAACACACTCAACAACTTGGTCCAACATCCATAGACACTTCACTCAGCAACTCATAAAACACATTTGTTTTCCCATTGTGAAAAAGACTCTCTATCAACCCTGAAGGGTGTGTGCATACACTGTGAGTGATATGTGGGCTAAAGTTTATAATTCATCTCTCAACTTCCTAAATTTTACTTTCCTAATATCAGTCATCACCCTGTTTTCATGTTCAACAAAGCCATTGAGTATGACAAAAACATTTCCATGAAGATACAGTATGTCATTTCCTGAAGTTTTTGTTTGTCTGACATACTCTTTTGTAATTTTGGCATTCCTATAGTTCTTGGGTTACATTACATGAACACAACAAAATTTAATTACCCAACACCACTTCTGCAAAAGCTTAAAAACAGTCTTAAGAACATGGAAACAGAGTCTCTGTGCTTTTTGCAGAGCTTCCAAGGGAGCCATGTTGGGAGAGAGCATCTGGAGCTTCACAGCCTCTGAGAGGGCCCTGGGAAGAATCTTCCATTTTCAGTGGAAACAAATGGCCGTTACTGGTTATGATCACTTTGTACTTTGGATCTGAATTTGCTATGCCTGCCTTTGTTTCATACATTTAACAGATATCAAGGATGTTTTAAGAGGGGTAGAATCTTTGGATTCTTAAACTCATGGCATTCTACATACGTTTGAAAATAAATTCACAATTTACAAAATAAAATGGAAATAAAAAAGCTTATATTAAAATCAGTTTTATATAAGACAAGGGATAATTTCTACCTATAATATATTAGATAGTGGTTAGTCTTAATTAAAATGAATTAAAATTTTTGAGGTCATCTGGATGTCCTTACTATAAAAGTTAAAGAAAAGGGCTGGGAAAGGTGGTGTATGATGTAATTCCAGCACTCAAGAGGCTGAAGAAAGTGGATTTCCAGTTTGAGGCCAGCCTGATCCACATAGTGATTTCAAGTCCAATCCAGGCTACAGAGTGAGACCCTGTCTCAATACCCCCACCTCAAAAAAAAAAAAAAAAAACCAAAGATATACTAACCATGTTGAGAGGTAGAAGTGTGCAGGTAACATATAAAACACAAATTTCATTATTTTTGCTTTATTCATTGGTTATGTTCTGCAAAATCTTTCACCATCACTTGTATGTTGTCTGTGTCTAACAAATACCATTTGAAATTAATATCCTCCATCTCCTCATTTTTGGTACATAACTTATACCTATTCTTTCCCCAGACTTCCCACCCTCTTCATGGGAGTCAGTGAAAGTCACAGCATAACCTGTGCAAAGTTATGAAAACACCTTGAAACGCAAGTAGTGGCTTCCCAGTGGAGGTAACATCCTAACCAACTGACTAGCAGAATTCTACAGGCGCACAGCTCTAGTGTTGGAGCCCTGGTCTCCTTTCCTGTTCACTGGGGAACCCCCACTGCTTAGGCCACTTGCTCCTCCTAGGACTGCCAGGCTCTTTCCAAACACCATGACTTTGTTCACTTGGTTCTCTCCCTCCAGAATATGTTCCACCCCTTAGAGCTCCCCCATTTACTTGGAAGACTCTTCACTCTTAAAACTCAAAAAAAATGGCCACTTCCTCCAAGAAAACTCTGATACCTCTCACAAATGCACTGTGTAAGAGTTGTATCTGGTGCCTCTATATTTTCTTAATGTAGTTTATTATGATGCTCACAAGAGTTTTTAAATCTTCTGTTTCTACATTCAGCTTTCTTATTGCTTTGAGAGTTCAAGGACAGCAGAATTTGACTTAATCTTAATCCTTTTTGTATCCATGGCAGTAGCTTTCTTCCACGTTGTAATTGCTGGGAAAACAGACCATGAAAATGCTGAAACAAATGGAAAAAGAAAGAAATTAATACAGGTTAGAATGCCCTTCTGGATAGAAAGATAACTAGTAGTAAATTGAGCCAATAACAAAAATTCAGGTGAAACTGACTTAATGAAAGAAGGAATCATTTCCCTATGAAAAGACTGATGACTGGTGAGATAAAGCCAAATAGTGGAGTTCAAAATTCCTATTTGGTGATCAGCCCCACTCCAGTTCCGGTTGCTTTGCTCTGCAGGCTCCATTGTAGACAACCTCTCCTTAAGCAATGGCAAAACTCCAGCAAGAAGCAAGGACTTGTTTTCCTGACAAAAAAAGACTCCACGGAATTTTTCCCTCTTGACAGAGTTAGGTCGCCAGGATGACTGGTGATTGGTCCCAGTAAAAAGGACTGGTCAACATTACATGTGTTATCAGTTTACTCCTGGGGCATTGGAGCAAGATTTCCCTCCCTGAACCATCCAGACAGGAAAGAAGAAGAGATGACAAGGGAGGGTTTTGTTCTCAAAAGGAGTGAGGAAGGGACTCAATCAGGCAGAAATGACAACTGTGCTAAAGATAGGACAGGGTGAGTGATATTGACACTCAA